AAAAAACATAATAATAATAAATAAAAAATTATATTTAATATAATAAATAAAATGTAAAAAAGCAATTCCTTGTTCCTCAATTAAAAAAAACTACCTCATAATAATTATAAAATGTTGTTTAATAAAATTAATAAAATAAAACAATCATAGAATTAATTTATTGTTCCTAATTAAAAAAAAAGGCATTTCATATAATAATAATAAATGAATAGTATTTAATACAATAAATAAAATAATACTAAAATAATTCCTTGTTCCTCAATTAAAATAGTAGTTCAAATAAAATAAATCATCTTATGTAGTATATTAATAAAATAAAAATATATAGAAATAATAAAGTAATTACTTGCTCAATTAAAAAAACAGGTAGCCATATAATAATGATAATAATGATGTTACTTAATAGAATTAATAAAATAAAATAAAACAAATAAAAAATATTTGTCCCTCAATTAAAAAACAGTAGTTCATTTAATAATAAGAGTAATAAAATACTGTTATTTTATATAAATAAGGGTTTCTCAAAAAACAGTGGTTGATAGAAGAAGAATCAATTAAATGATAAAATCTTTAGTGAAAGTTTATGGGACGAGAGTACTGGAGGATTTTAAAAGATAAAAAAAATTACTTGAAAAGGGTCATACTGTAAAGATGAATAAAGTACATTCATTAACATGTATTGAACCCAGAACATTTCTTTAAACAAACCCATTTTTGCCATGATATGTAACTGAAAGAGTGATGTTTGCGGCTCACATTAGACAGGAAGTTGTAAACTCCATCCGGGTCACTCATTCCCATCAGCATGATCTTATAGCTGAGCAGAATCTCCACGGCAACAAACACCAGGATCTTACATGAGCCGCTGATGACTTTATCCCAAACCCTATCGACCAATCACAGCACAGCACAGTCCATCAGTCAGCCAATCACACAAGAGCACAATCAATTAATCAGACAATCACAAGTTTCAACAATTTTCAACATTGATAATAATCAGAAATGTTTCTTGAGCAGCAAATTTGAAATGGTAAAAATATTTCACAATTTTTCCTGTATTTTTGAGAGGAATCAGTAAACTGCAGTGGACGTCATTGTGTCCTGACCTCTGTAGGCTGGACTCTGGTAAACAGCCAGCAAAGCAGCGTCTGAACCAGAGACAGTACGGCAGCGAGTGCAGAGCTCCAGACGTCTTCAGATGAGCCAGAAGAGCGGCGTCCTCTTGAGACAGGAAGTGCTCCAAACTCTTCGGCTGAAACACAATTCAAAACAAATCAGAGTAACTTTACATCAATGAGCCGTTGCACAAGACGGAAGAAGAACGAAACTTGGACTATTTTTGTGGTGTTTCTGTTAGTTTTGGAGCTCCATATATGAACTTGGAATGACGTGAGGGTGAGTAAATGTAATAAAATAATAATAATAACGTGTTATTATTCATTAATATGTAAAAAAAAAAAATCTGGTGTTAAAAGGAAAACAAGTAAAATGATTAAACACTTAAACATTAAAAATCATAAAAATGAAAATAAAAATAACAGCTGTTATCTTTTATTATAATGTCAAAACGAAAAAATAACCACTTATACCAAAATTAAAAATCATTAATAAATAAAAAATAAAATAATAGCAACAACAGTTATTACTTTTTACAGTGTCAAAAAGGAAAAAATTAAAAATGTGTTCTGGATGGGTACTGAACACTTAAACCAACATTTTACAAAATCATACAAAATAATAATAATAACTTATTATTAAAGTGTCAAAAAGGACAAAAACTCGAAAACTTAAAAACTTGTTCTGGGTGGTTGTTAAAGACTTAAACCAAAATTGAAAATGCATAAAAACAAATATTAATAATAATAACTGTTATTATTTATTATAGTGTTAAAATTAAAAAGTAAAACACTTAAGTTAAAAATCATACAAAAAACATGTATTGAGAATAACTCTATATACATGTTTTTTTATTCTGTCAAAAATAAAAAGTAAAAAACTTATGGATTGTTATTGAACATTTAAACCAACAAAATAACTAATAAAGTAATAATAATAACAACAACAACTGATATTACAGCAACAAAAATAATAAAAAATTAAATATGCATTTTGCATGCTTATGAACTCCTAAACCAAAATTAAAAAAGCATAAAAAATAATAACAGTAATATTACACATAATCACTGTTAGTATGTATTATAGTGTTTTAAAAAATAAGTAAAATTATTGAACGCTTAAATAAATCAACATTAATAATCATTAAAAAAAATGATATAACAACAACATTACAAAAGTAATAATAAGTGTTACTTATTTTTCTGTGGTAATATATCTGCAAGGTTATTTAACACTAAAAATGTTAAACATTCATAATAATAATACATTATTATTTATCATAGTGTAAAAAATAAATGATTAATAAATAATATTGAAATCTTTGTTAGCTGTTCCTTCAGCAGGTTAAGGTGTACCAGGTGAGGGATGGAGTCTCCAAACTTGAGCTTGAACTGGTTGACGAAACACCTGATGAGCCAATAGCAGTCGACCGGGTCATCGACGATCTCCTCCATCGCTCTGCCGATAGCCAGGAAGTTTTCATCCTCGTCGTCCTGGAAGAAAACCATCAAACCTGAGCCATGAGGAAACACGACCTGGTGGTCAGTACAAACATCACAGGGGTTTATCATTGACACTTGTTTCTCTGGATAACGTTATCTGAAGCACGAGTTATACGTGAAACCCAACCTCTGAGAAATACTGAAGATGCTGCTATAAACTGTAGACACACCTCCCTCTTTACCTTTTAGACACGGCTCATGTTTATAACATGTATCAAAGGTATACATCATTAGCTTTCCATTGATGTATGGTTTGTTAGGATCGGACAATATTTGGCTGAGATACAGCTATTTGAAAATCTGGAATCTGAGGGTGCAAAAAAATCTAAATATTGAGAAAATCATCTTTAAAGTTGTCCAAATTAAGTTCTAAGCAATGCATATTACTGTCCATAATAAATGTATATATATTGAAGAATCGGCTAAAAACACATCTCTTCCATCTTTATTTGACCCTCTAACTCTAGCACTCTCTATTCTGATTCTATTCTTTAAAAAAAAAATACTTGCCCCTTTTAGACTTGCACTCTATTCATTTACCAACTGCTTGTTTTCTTAAAGGGGTCATATGATGCGATTTCAAGTTCTCCTTTCTCTTTGGAGTGTTACAAGCTGATTGTGCATAGATAAGATCCCTGAAGTTGCAAAGACTAACGTCTCAAAACCAAAGAGATATTCTTTATCAAAGTTAAGACTTAACCACACCCATTATATAATAAAAAAGACCTTGCTATGTATGCGTTAGGCTAATTGAGACTTGTTATAGCACTTGCATATCATTGCTCTTTTCTTGATTTTGATTGCTTCCAAAAGCGTCTGCTAAATGACTAAATGTAACTATACCAGTGCTACTTATGACTGCTTTTGTGACCACAAAAGCAGTCTTAAGTCGCTGGGGTATATTTGTAGCAATAGTCAAAAAAACATTGTATGGGTCAAAATTATAAATTTTTCTTTTATGCCAAAAATCATTAGGATATTAAGTAAAGATCATGTTCCATGAAGATATTTTCTAAATTTCCTACCGTAAATATATTAAAACTTAATTTTTGATTAGTAATATGCATTGCTAAGAACTTCATTTGAACAACTTTAAAGATGATTTTCTCAATATTTTGATTTTTTTGCACCCTCAGATTCCAGATTTTCAAATAGTTGTATCTCTGCCAAATATTGTCCTATCCTAACAAACCATACATCAATGGAAAGCTTATTTATTCAGCTTTCAGATGATGCATAAATCACAATTTCAAAAAATGGACCCTTATGACTGGTTTTGTGCTCCAGGGTCACATATAAATAATGGTGACTTGACTTGACCTGACGTACTGATCACCCACAAACCTCTCCGCTCCTCACCGGTGGCCTGAGCTCACTCCTGCGGGGAAGCTGTCGGCTCTCCAGCTGGTACATGCGCAGGTAGAGCTCCGTCGCCGGGGTGGATGCGTGGATGAAGCGCATGGCTGTCAGAGCGCCGCTGACGTCCTCAAACTGCTCGAGACGATAGCGAGACACCAGAGCGTGAGAATCACTGTGAGGCGGCAGGATACCTGCAGACGACGGGACAGACGGCTTCACCAGCCTGATCTACAGACACTCGCGATGTCTCCATCCACCTGTTTGTATGCGCATTTTGGAATATCGCATTAAAAAAACGCTGGATGGAAACACCAAGACGTGCATAAATTCTAAAAATGCGCATAAAAAACGTACGCGCACATTTGAGTAGGATAAACTTTTTATCCGATAAGAAAAAATGCGCATAAACTACGATGGAAACACAAATGTGATACCGAATAAATTCCACCATGCGCATCGGAAAAGTCTTGTGACTTTGCGCTATGAGACGGGATAACTTGACTAACCAGCGAACCGATCTTGTTGCACAGCATCTCAAATGTTGTTTTGGTCGTTCTGAAATGCCTGAGCCAAGTCTGTCGTCAAAGTATTTCTGTATAATTGTTCCCAAGCAGCAGGCATCCACCTCCGAAAGCATTGACCGCATTTATTGTGTTTCGTCTGCTCTCTCTGAGGCGCAATCATCATTTATCTTTGGATGGAAACGTAGCTAATGTGTTATATTACATACAGTGGTGGCCGCTCACAACAAATGTTGATTTCATTTAGTTAATAGAAGTTAACCGATTAAGAAAATCTATTTATGGCATTATTTTTGCCAGCATCCTCACTTTACAGCATTTTTACACAAGTGCCTAAATCTTTTCACAGCACTGTAGCTTTGCAGGAGGTTTCTTGAAGCATCAGTTCTTCTGGATTGAGTCTGTCTCAGTTTGTTCTGTTTCTTCATGTCACTCCAGACAGACTGATGATGATCAGATCAGATCTCTGTGTGCAGCACAAACATCTCACTGCATTATTACAATTAATGGCTAAATGAATGTTTGGAAATGTAAACTGATATTTCCTACTGACACACTACAGCAAAACATAGAAATAACTGACTTAAAACCATTTTTAGCTGCTGGAAATACTAGTGTCCTAATCATTTTGGCCACCACTGTATATAAATGATAATTCATGTTCTCACCCAGCAGGACTTTCCACACGTGTATCCGGTACATGGAGGGCAGAGGAAACCTCTGACTGAAGGTGCTCAACTTCTCCACATCTGAAAACAACAGCAGCAAAACTGACTGAAGGAGCGAGAGAAACACTGATCGTCTGTGCGTTTATACTAACTGAGAGATACATAGCATTTCACAGTTAGACATAAACCTAAACAAAGATGAAAAATAAATACTACTGTATATAATAATAATAATAAGTTATTTATATATATATATATATATATATATATATATATATATAACACTTCCCTAATAAGTTAGATTATTTTGAATCGTAACATTTTCACAAAATACAAGCTACAACAGTATGTAAGATATACCTGCTGTGTTCATCATAAACAATGTTTTAAAATATTTTAAAAATGACCGTTTATTTACCTCAGAGCGCAGATCTCAGCGGGCCTCCGCGGTTTTCCTCAGCCGAGAGACTCTTCAAACAATTTATCAATCAAACATCTGACTGCAATTCACATTCAATACATAAATGCGGAATTATTACCTTTAATTCTTAAATGAAAGACTGCAGATGTGTACGTCTGTAAACGCGGCTGTCTGCAGTCCTGCAGTGAACCCTAGTGTCGCCAACCGCCTCCAACCGGAACAGCGTCCATATCAACGCTCAGCTCCCATACACATAATACAAGACAGCCTTTAAAGCTTTTTTAGAATATATAAAGTCTTTTTAAAAATCATCATAAAGCCCAAACAACTGTTTCTCTACTAAATGAATTTAAAATATGCTTTTGATGCCCTTTTATTTCATTTATTTTATTAAAATTGTCTCAATTTGTACTTACAATGTGTAAAAGTAAATATGAGAAATGTGTGAAGAACTTGCTGTTGAATTTTGTAATTTTGAAAGTTCAATAATAAAAAAAATAATAATAATAACTAAAATACATAATAAATCTATGTCCGCTCCAACAAGATTGGACAAATACATTTGCTTTCTTAACCCTCATAATGCATTCAAAATCGGAATTAAATGCATGACTGCTCAAACATTTGTGAGACCTACATATTGTTATATGTAGCTACATAGTTATGCTATTTTTAAAATACATCTCTTCCGGGTAAACTAACCTAATTGACCAATGCATTCAGATCGCCCTTTTTAAAGTCACATGGTTATTTTTTGCTAACTGAATACAACCATAGCAGTACGTGACTGATGTTATATGACAGCACACGCATCCATACACAATAAAACAACACTTATCCTTGAGTTTCAATGATTTTGTTAGAAGTCTGCAGGCTAGGAAAATATTTTTAGATCTTCGTATTAACTGGTTCTACTTTTTTTGTTGTTGACATAATTAGTCAATAACTACATTGTTTTTCAATGCAAAGTACAAACATTGTTGATGTCAGTTTATTTATAGAGCTCATAGACAGTAATGTTAAATCTTAAAGTGAGGACAAATACATTTGCTGTCTTAACCCTCATAATGCATTCAAAATCTGAATTAAATTCATGACTGCTCAAACATTTGTGAGACCTACGTATTGTTATATGTAGCTACATAGTTATGCTATTTTTAAAATACATCTCTTCCGGGTAAACTAACCTAATTGACCAATGCATTCAGATCGCCCTTTTTAAAGTCACATGGTTATTTTTTGCTAACTGAATACAACCATAGCAGTACGTGATTGATGTTATATGACAGCACACGCATCCATACACAATAAAACAACACTTATCCTTGAGTTTCAATGATTTTGTTAGAAGTCTGCGGGCTAGGAAAATATTTTTAGATCTTCATATTAACTGGTTCTACTTTTTTGTTGTTGACATAATTAGTCAATAACTACATTATTTTTCCATGCAAAGTACAAACATTGTTGATGTCAGCTGACAGCACAGGCATCCATACACAATAAAACAACACTTATGCTTGAGTTTCAATGATTTTGTTAGAAGTCTGCGGGCTAGGAAAATATTTTTAGATCTTCATATTAACTGGTTCTACTTTTTTGTTGTTGACATAATTAGTCAATAACTACATTATTTTTCCATGCAAAGTACAAACATTGTTGATGTCAGCTTATTTATAGAGCTCATAGACAGTAATGTTAAATCTTAAAGTGAACGCCCTTTACTTTGATTCATTATTTGAAAAGATCAAACTAGCCAATATTTCGATTAATATTGGCAACTGCAGCATTTCAAAAATGGTAAGTAATACAAGTTAAATATCTACTGAGTGGTTGTGAGAGGATCTTGAATAGGATTACTTATCTGCTGTTTTGTAAACAGTCTTTTGTTAGCTTGGAGCTGGTTAGCAGAGGTCAGCCAGGGTGCTAGTAAACACTTTTTGTTATCATTTGTTGTCTTTAATAATAATCATACAAATAATAATAATAATAATAATATATGATGTTAGTACTCATGAAATAGCTTCACATCTTCATAATACAGGATCCTTATTTCTGCTTTAACGTGCACTTAAATCTTTGGTTGTAATCACTAATAAAACTGAATGGAATTAAAAGTATTAATGTTCAATTTTGAAGTTCAAAAGTAAATATTGTGAAATCAGGCCTGGATTAGATTGTATTAGACATTAAATAACTCTGCTTTAACTCCTAAATATAAAATTTTATACATAAAATCAAACCATAGTAATAATTCATCATACGAGTCATACATTTAATGAGGTCTTTCTTTATTTGAGCAATAAAACCGTAAGAAAAATGTCATACACAGTGTTAGAGATCAACTTCACAAAGTAATTCAGGCTAGTACAAAGGTAAAGTGAAGGCACTGAAACTTTCAGAAAAACTACAGCAATTCAACAGTATTAGTGTAAAAACAAATCAGGAAAGTTACATCTATACCTAAAATCTAGTGTTATAAACAACTTTCATCTGTTTAATAAAATTCAAAAGCAGATAAACCCCCATAATGTGAATAAGCAGGCAAAATTAAAAGTGTATTTTTTTTTGTATTAATACATTCGATATAGATTTAAGGAACACTAAACGCTACTGGTTGTTCTTTAGTTTTCCAAACAAGGTGGTTAAAAAAATGCTGATTCGTTTAGAACACAATCCACATTTCCAATAATAAATGTTACTGATCTTCTCATATTGTTATCTTAAAAATACTTTGATGGATAATTGTGTTATATAACATTGCACAGTACAAAATTATTGTTTAAGAGAGCGATCTGGAGCTGAAAGAGGTTCTGCTGTAGCTAAAGCTGCTGTATCTGGAAGACGAAGAGGGGGATAAGCTGTAGTCTACGCTGCCCCTACGGGATCCGCTTCGAGAGCCTGAGGCAGATCCTGGATTCGAGAGGTTGTAAGGGCTGCTGATGCCACGTGATGAAACCGTGGAGGCGGGAAGCATGCATACACCCGTGTTCTCCTCGGTCATGCAACCTTCCAGAGCCTCCTTGTAGGATATCCTCAGCTTGGACTTGGGGCAGGTGAGGGTCTTGGGGTGGTGGCGCGTATCCTGGAGCCTCTGAGCCGCTCTCATGTCCAGCCAGCCGAGCTGCAAAGCCTCCTCGAGCGAACGTCTGCATCCAAGCTCTGGGTCGAACAGCCCGCCGGTTAAATACTGGAATTCGAGGAAGCGCTGGCCAGCTTCGTACGGCAGCCATTTTTCCTTGACGGCCTCGGCGGCTGACATCTTACGCTTGGTTTTCACGTCTTCGAAACCAATATACGCTTTCTGGGCAGGTTTTATCCTGTTGGCCATTTCGTCATCAAGGACACCAAGTCGGGTTGCTTCTTGAATAGAAATACGGCGACCGTTTTCAGGGCTCACAATCCCTCCGGTGCAAGCCTGAGCCTCCAGGAGTCGTTGCGCTGTGATGGAATCAATGATTCCTCGCTTCAGAGCGTCACATATGCTGATCTTCTCCAGCTTCTCTGTGTCAAAAACTGCTCCAACTGGATTCTGTTCCTCAATCGTTTCCACTAATGGGGTCAGTTTGATTGACATGCTGGAAATATGCTTGGCGGTGTTTGTTGAGGATGGATCTTGAATGGTTTCTTGAGTGGAGATACTCTCGACTGTTTTAACAGTTTCAGTTTGAATTATCTGGCTTTTCATTGACGTCTGGGATGTGAAAGATGATGAGGCGACAGAGGAGCTGAGCGGTTTGCTGAGAGTCTTTGTCTTGTGTCTGGTGATCATATCTGCAAGCTCTGTAAGGGTGAGATTTCCTGAGCGATACTTATCAAGGACATCTTGGTCAATCACTCCCTTAGCTAGCAGTTCTTTCAAGTCATATTGAATGCCTGTTTGCATGTCCATTATAGCTGTACTGGTCGAGCCATCTGGGGCAGTGATGACTGTTTCTTCCCACTCGCACTCTTGCTGAGACAATTCCAAAAAGGTTTCGTAGTCTATGAGTTTATTCTCATAGGCTTCACGCACCGTCATCTCTTTATTACTTTCAGGATCAACAATCAATACTCGTCTCTTCCTTGAGGAGTTCTTCTGCTGCATCTTTTTCTTATCGTAAAGGGGCAGAAGCACTAGTCCCGTCTTCTTATCTGGAATGCAATGGCTTTTTAGCTGCAGGTAGGTCAGATTGTCCTCTGTGTTTGGGTCGAAGAAACCTTTTGTGTCATCTCCTTCATCTTTCAAAATCTGGTTCATCTCTTCATCAAAGTAGCTCCTTTGGTACGCCACATCAACATCAATTCGGTGACTGTGTTTAGGGTCAATGATGCCACCACTTGCAATCTGAGCCTCCAGCAGGCGAATGCCATGACCTTTCTCTATGAGACCACGTTCGATGGCTTCGAAAAGGGAGATCATCTTGTTGGTGCCTGGGTCTTTGTACCCAGTTACCGCTCTCTCTGCAGACAGAAGCTTGTCTTTGAACTCCACACCCACCAGTCCTTTCTTACAGGCCTCCTCGACTGTGTAGTACTCATTGTGGATGGGATCAATAATGAAGCCTGAGGCTGCCTGGGCTTCCAGAAGCTCCAAGGTAGTGCCTGGTCGCAGAAGCCCTTCCTTCATGGCCTGGTAGATGGGCAAGGCGCAGTCGTTGGCCTCATCATAAATCCCAGCAATGCAGGTTGACCCTCGGAGATAAGCCCGAAGCCTGTGTTCA